TATATATATATATATATATATATATATTCGTGGGCGCTGATGTGGTTTTGAGCGGAGCGGCTGATTGTGTTGCTGTAATGAGGAGGATTGGATTGGGTTTTTTTGTTTAGTTTTTTTTGTCGTTTTCTTTGATTTGGGATTTCGTTCAGTTCTAGTGGAGTGTTCCGAGCTCTTTTTTTCTAAGTTTTTTATGACGGATAACGAATTAAAAATGCAAATCGGGCCTTTCGGAGCTGTGGTTTTCAGTGTTTGTTTGCGGCTCTGGGCGACGAACTTGCTAGAGACGTTCAACTTTGACCTTTTTGCTGCTGCTGAGACGCTTCTGCCGACATACGGTTCACATCACACTTCACGAAGAAAATAAACGCTTGCGAAATAAGCAGACTTGAGGGGGACGAGGAGCACTTGTGGACGTGCTCTTTCGCACCTGTTGTGGACTTTACGAAACAAATCATTATTACGACTTGAAAAAATATATATATAGAAATAAGTGTTTAAAAAAAAAAATACAAAAAAGCTGGAGAATGAGAGCGTACGAATACTACATGCCTTTCAGCTCCCTGGAGAGCGACCTGTAAATACATGTTTTGTTTTGTTTTCCAATAATAAAAATGCTAACTTTAATGCCATGTATTAATTTTTTGGCTTTTGTTTTGTTTGTATTTAATTTTTTTTCTTTTTGTGGTTTAACCACCCGGCTTGTATAATTATCCTCCTCTAGTTAATGATTATAGTTTAATGAGATTATGTAAATATTTCTCTTTTTTTGCTTTAAGTATTTAATTAAGAGAAATTAATGCCTCTTTTCACATTTGAAACTGGAAGAGATAATAAAGAGCATTGCAATGAAAAAATGACAAAAACGTGTTGTTACTTTTCGGTTTTCGCGCTGAGATTTCGTTCCTTATTTCAGCGCAAATTACAAGATGCCGACAAGATTTATCATGAGCTGAATATGTTTGGAAAAACTCTACAGACTGTGTTCCATTATAGTCGAGAATTTACTGGATTAATTTCGTCAGTTATTATTTCATCCACCTTATTTTTAACGTACAGAGCGGCGCCACCATTTGTAAATTGAATTTTGTTTCCTTGCTTTAAGAAATCTGTCTGTTAAGCTCGGTCAGTTTCTGTCTGTAAGTGACAGATTTGCAACATTCAGATGAGAATTTAGGTGTGTGTGTGTGTGTGAGAGAGAG